TGGGTGCCCGGTTTCCGTGCTGGTGGTAACATCATCTTCCTTTTTTTTTTTTTTTTCTCTTTTCTTTGCAGACTGCTCTCAGTGCTTTTTTCCAAGAAACAAACATCCCCTACAGCCACCACCATCAGATGGTAAGTGCTTTCCCACCTCTCCAGCGATCGCCAGGGGCACAGCACCAGCTGGCGGGCGCTTTGGGCTGTTGCTGATGCCCAGCTCGCTGCTTCACAGTTCCAGGAGTGCGGGCAGGGAGGGCTGGCAGAGCTGCCTGCCGTGGAAGGTTTTCCTGGAGAGCAGCTGGGGGTGGCATAGCCTGTCCTACACAGTGGGACAGCAGGTCCGGGAGTGCCCTCGGAACCCTGCAAAGGGGTTGGGGCTGCTCCTCAGAGAGGGATGATCCAAGGGAGGATGCTTTGGGCATCCAGATCAGCCCCAACGTAGCAGAGAGAGTCTGGGGGAGCCTGGAGCAAGCACCAGACTGTTGTAGGCTGTGTAAACACACATAGAGGTACATGTATGCTGCACAGCTGCACACACGAGTCCTTGTGTGCTTGCTGGAGCGACTGAGCGTGCAAACCTCTGCCCCACTGGAGTGTGCCTCTAGTACAGCATGCTGGTCTGGGTGTGCATAAACACACAAGGGCGCGCATGTGCACGGGTGCTGGCTGCCTCCGCTCTCTCCCAGCTGGCCCCAGACTCGGTCCCTTTAACTTTCGTGCTCCGGCAACCCATAATCTGCCTGGGCAGATGTGTCTTGGGGATTTGCTGGCTGCTGTGGCCTCATTTGGCTCTCGGGGACAATTGGGGATTTGGAGCGTGCAGTAAGTGTGCAGAGCAAGTGCCCGGCAGGGTCTGAGCGCGCTCAGCCTCCCGTGGGGTGGGAGCTGAGCCTTGCGCCCGCTGAGCCGGAAAGCTGCCGGCCCAGGGTGGCACCAGGAGGCTGTGGAGTACAGGGGGTCCCCGACTTGGCCAGGCACAGCAGGGTCCCGTCTGGGCCCTCTGACAGGAGCTCTCACAACAGCATTTGTCTTCAGAGTCTTAAATAACTGCTGCTTGCGGCCAGCATCATCAGCAGAGCACAGGTCTGGGAGCTCCATGTGCTGCAGCGGTGGGGGCAGAGGGGTCTTGTGCTGGGCCTTGGTGGGAGGCAGAAGGTGGAGACCCCCCCTCCACGCCTGACCCCCGCGTCTCCTTCCCGCAGATGTGCACTCCCGCCAACACGCCGGCCACGCCGCCGAACTTCCCCGACGCCCTCACCATGTTCTCCCGCCTCAAGGCCTCCGAAAGCTTCAACAGCAGCAGCCCCGTGGCCTCCATGGCAACTTCTCCGCCGCCCCCAGCCCCGCCACTGCCCCAGCATGGGGCCTTCAACCCCGCCTGGCCCGCGGCTTCGCCCCCCGGCCAGCAGCAGAGCATGTGGACTCCGGCCCCCCCGGCGCAGCCCGCCGGCTGGCCAGCCGCCGTCTCCCAGCAGGCCACGGCAGAACAGAAGGCCAACGTGACCATGGAGGCAGAGAGATGAGGCCGTGGCGGAGAACAAACGCAGCGGGGACCCCTGCGTATAAATATATATATATTTTCTTTTCCCCCTCCCCAAAGAGGAGAGGAACTCTGCTGCCAGGGTGTCTGGCAGCCGCCGAGACACACGAGCAAATAGCTGCCTTGCATGGGTTTGGTTTGAAGTAGTTTTTACTTGTTCTCGAGCTGAACGGAGCTCCCCAGAGACAACGGGAGGCTGCGTGGGATGCGGGACCGGTGTTGGCCTCTGCCTGGGACCCCGCCGCTGCCGGGCTCTCGGGGAGGGAGCACCCCCTCCTCTCTTGGGACACTGGAGTTTGCATGCGAGTGACATTTATGGAGGAGGTCCCTTCTTCACGGTCCCCCGAGCCACCCCACCAGGCAGAGTGGGTCGTGCCTGAGTGTTTCCCCCCCATCCCTCAGCCCCACTCAACTAGGTGGGGGGCAGACACACCACGCAGCTTGTTTTTTGTAAAGAGGGGAGAGAGCAAGGACTGTTCTGCTCGGCCGCAGCCTCCACCTCGCATGCATCGTGCTCACTGGTGAGCAGGGCTGGGGGGACACCAGCTCCTGGGGAGGCACCTGCCCCCTCGCCCAGCACCAGCGATGGGGAACCAGGGGTGGCAGGGGGTTACCCTCCCCTGTCCTCCTGGGATGGGGTTTGCCCTGGGGCTGTTTGCATGACACAGTGTAACCCTAGAGACTGGGATCGTTTTTAACCCCTCTGTTCTTTTCTCCCGGCGGCTGGAAGTCTCTCCGGATGCGCCGCAGCCGCTTGCAATACACGCTCTTCTGCTTTGAACCCGGTGTCTTTGCTTTGTTTGCAGCAGCGGTGGGATGCGGGGAAGGCTGGCCCGGGCCCGAGGTGTTGCAGGATCCCCTCTCCAAGAGGCTCTGAGCGTGCTGTGCCTCCCAGCTGGCACTAGCTGCCTCTTCGCTGTATGTGTGCTGCTCCAAACACTTGTCCCACCCGTGGGGTGACCGCGACCTGCCTCTGGCCACTTGCATGCCAGGGCTCAGCCTCAGCAGAAGTCAGCTTGGCTCTGCCTGCTGCCCCACCACATCAGCTGTGGGTGTGAGGACCGCCCCCCCCACAGCAGGGGCAGGCTGATGGCAGGGCTGCAGGGAGCCCTTGGGCTCCCTGGTTGACCCCCACAGGTCTGGGTGTCTTGCTGTGATCTGGCTGCTATCCCCTCTTCACTGGATGACAGGGGCCAGTCCCCTAGAGGCTGCCATCCCTGCTGAGCCCTCTTCTGATGAGGCCGTGCCCCTGCATCCCCGCGCTCACCAGTCAATAATTAATTTCAATCTCTTATTTGTGTTGCTAAAATAAACATTGTAGGAGGGATGGTTTCACCCATGCTGCCTCTTGTACAGCCTCAGCAGAGGCTGGGAGCGAGGGCTGGAGCTGGTGCTGGCCCTCGTGAGCTTCCCTGCGCAGGGTTGTGCTGGAGCTACGTGGCTCAGTCCTGCCCCTCCAAGGTGGACTGGGTTGAGCTGGTGGCATCTGGAACAAGCTGAGACCATGGGCCTTGTGTCTGGACTGTGGTGGCTTGAGCAACATCGAGGGCAGTGTGGAGTCCTGCTGGGAGTGGGGATGATCTGCGAGGCAGGGGCTGCGTGGCATGTAGCCCACCCAGGGGAGACACGGAGAAGGGATCTGTCCCTGACCTGCCTGTGAAACGCAGATGAAGCCACATGGAGACCTGGGTGGCAGGGAGGGCAACCTGCCTGTGACTGTCCCAGGAGCCATGGGATTGGAAATTCCAGGGCCACACCGCAGACCTGAACGTCTGGTTGGTCAGAGAGAGCTGACAGGGATGTGGCAGAGCCCAAAAGTGTCAGGCTGTGGTAGCCAAGTCCCCAAGGATGCCCCACGTGCCCCCACAAGCCCAGGGACCATGCAGGAGAGGCAACAGAGGAGGGAGCATCTTTATGACCTGTGGTGTCACCCCACTGCGATGAGCAGCTGCTGGGGCGGTGTGGCCCCCACCCCACCAGCCCCCTGATGCCAGGCAGCACAGCCCTGCTGCACCTGCCCCCTCCCTGGCGCCGCACCCGTGGCAGCATGCCACCAGCCCCCTGAGGACCTGTCTTCATCCACATGGCAGCACCTGCAATGCAGAAGGACGAACAGCCTTGCATGGGGCACAACGCCCCCCAGGAGCGCTCAGCAGCAGGCTGAGCCTGCACAGTGGGGCCGGGGGGACAACCAGGGCAGGCACTCACATGAGTATGGGGATACGTAGTGGCTGCCGTACTTGGGGGCACGGCGTATCTCCACGGTGTGCCGGGAGCGGGGCTGGGGGGTCTTCGTTGCTTTGGGATGAGCGGGATGTGCTGTTTCAGGTGGCTTCAAAGCCTGGCTGGAGCTAACGCGGTACGCTGGGGCTGCTCCCCCACCCGGGAAGTCCTTGCCCACAGTGATGGTCCTGTTGGCAGCCAGGGAGCTCAGCCTGCCTTTGTAGACAACCCCGTTGATGCCCAAAATATCCACTTCTCTCTAGAGGGGAGAGCAGCCGGTGCCATCAGAGGCACACCAAAGCTGTACCCAGCCCACAGCACTCTCACCATCCCAGCCTGGGTGGGCTCGGTGGGTTTCCAGAGCACAGGGACACACAGGGATGGGGGCTTACATTCTTGCAGGCAAAGTCTGCAGGATCTCCGCCGGGGCAGATGGTGACGAGGGAACTGGAGGTGGACAATGGCCTGACAGGACTCTTGGGGCCTCCCTGGCTGGCCCTGCTGTTCCCTTCGCTCTCCCTGGGCAGGGAGCACTGACGTTACCCCTCCTGCCCAGGCAGAGGGACCCCAAAGGGAGAGAGGGGGATGCGGTGGCACCTGGCAAGCCTCACCTCCCTGGCAGCCGCCCT